GGCACTCTGGGAGATACAGGCAGGAGGATCACAAGTTCAAGCCCAACCTGGGCCACTTAGCAATTCAGTGAGATTTTGTCTCAAAATAAAGTATTTTGAAAAGGGGTGGGGATGCAGCTCAGTGAGAAGGCTCTGGATTCCATTCTCAGTACTGAGGAGAAGAAACAGTGGTATTATATAATGATTCCCCAGAAAGGTATTAACAATCCTAACATGTATCCACCTAACAAGACAGCTTCAAAATACATGAAGTAAAAGCTACTTTGGAATATGCTTTTTGTTGTTATTGTTTTGGGACAGGGTTTTGCTATGCAGTTCAGATTGGCTTCGAACTCAAAGCAATCCTCCTGCCTCAGCCTCCTGAGTGCTGGGATTATAGGTGTGTACTACCATGCTCAGCAGCACATCAATTTTTAAATTAATTAACTAATTAATTAGTCTTTTTGAGACAGGGTCTCGCTATGCAGTTCAGGCTGGCCTTGAGCTCACTTTGTAGCCCAGGCTGGTCTCGAACTTACAACGATCCTCCTTCCTCAGCCTCCCGAGTACTGGGATTATAGGTGTGCACCACCATGCCCAGCCACACATCACTTTTTTAAAAAACAGAAAACACATGAAGGCATTTACTAGATATTAAAAGCAATTAAGTTCAGCTTTTGACTATTAAGGCAGTAATTTAAAAAACACCAATGGATATCCTATTTTTTTCCACAAAAGAACACTTATGGTTTGGAAAATTATATTTTCCAATATGAATACAATGAATCTTATTTCAGTGGTTGATGCAGGTGGAAGTCATGCTGGACAGAGAAGTTTATAATCTCTCCTAACATTTTTTTTTCCAGTACTAGGGATTGAACCCAGGACCTTCCCACTGAGCTACATTTCCAGTCTTTTTTTTAAATTTTGAAACAATATCTTACTAAGTTACCCAGTTGGGTTCAAACTTGCAAGAGGCCCCTGCCTCAGCCTCCCCGAGTGTTGCCCCATTACACCCAGTTTCTCCTCTCAGTACTAAAGCCGCAGTTGAACTGCTGGACTTCAGAGGAGGCATCAGCCACGTATAACCCAGACTTTGGCTCATTTCTGTAAATATAGTTTTGTTGGAACACAGCTACACTCAATTCACTTGCGTATTTGCCTATGGCTTCCTTCATACTCAATGTGAGTAGCTGCCAGAGAGACTGTATGGGCCAAGACGCCTAAACCTAAATGTGTACCACCTTGCCCTTCGGGAAAAGTCTGCTGACCCCCGCAATCAGGTAACACAGAGAAAGGACCACCGCGGGGAAAGGCCAAGGCCACAGTCAGCCTGAACCCGGAGCCCCAAGTACCTTATTTGACAGGGATTCCGGTGCACGCTCTTCCTCTTTGTTCACCGAGGGACCAGGCTCTTGTTTAGTAGGACCCACTTTCGATCTAGCCAAACTTAAAAATTCACTAATAGAATCTTCCTTTTTTTCATGTTGAGATGCATCCCATCTGGACGGCTTCCTTGACTCTGAAAGGTAGAGCAGGGATCTGACCTTGGACTCGGCAGGCAAAAGGCAAGTTCTTCACTGCGGCTCTGTCATTCGCCCAGAGCATCGGCACGGCCGCGACGCCTTGGCGCTGTGCAGGGACAGGGCCCCCGAGAGCCCGGCTCAGGCCCAGCGCCACGTGAGCTGATGCAGGCTGCAAGCAGGTTGGTTGTGGAGAGAGTGTCTGCACCACGTGTACCCCTGGGGCCTCCCCTTTATTCCTGTCCCCCCAGCAGGTGAGAGGTTCAGGTACCGCTCAGCAGAGCCCCCAGAAGCCCTGCTCCCCATCCGAACCTCGGGGCTGCGGGGCTTTTTCACTGGATGCTTGCGCTGCGGGCGAGGAGGTGGGCTCAGGGAGCGTCAGAAAGTTGAAGACCGAGTATTTGTCACGCTTCACCCTTGGTAAGCCAACTAACGTGGAACTAGGGGTTGAAAAGAAAAAAAGGTATAATTTTAGTAACAAATGCTAGGATAGGGCCGGGGACATAGCTCAGCGAGACAAGCACCTGCCTGGCAAGCGCAAGGTCTTAAGTTCGATTCCCAGTACCAAAAAAAAAAAAAAAAAAAAATGCTAGGATAACACCCACTTCCTGTAAAGGTTTTGGTCTTACATCTTTGCCCAGCTCTCCTACTTCACTAAAGGGTACCTTAGATGTCTGCACCTCCCAGCGCAACTCATGAATTCAGACGGCTGACTTTAGAATCCTTGAGTTTTGTTTTTTGATTTTTTTTTTGAGACAATGTCGCACTATGCAGTTCAGGCTGGCCTTGAACTCGCACAATCCTCCTGCCTCAGCCTCCCAAGTGCTGGGATTACAGGCAAAAGTTTTTCTTATTATACTAAGAACTAGAATGAATTAATTTTTTTTATGGTGCTGAGGACTGACCCAGGGCCTGGCAAAAGCTAGGCAAATGTTCCACGACGGAGCTACTCTCCTGGTCTTTTTTATTTTGAGACAGGGTCTCAGAAAGGTGCCCAGACTAGCCTTGAACTTGTGACCTCCTGTCTCGGCATCCACAGTAGCTGGGATTACAGGCATGTGCCACCACAACTGTTTGCACTTGATCTTAGCCAAAAGGCCGAGAAGCAATTACCACAACTATCTGGAATTTAATTTTGCAGTGGATTTTCACTGCTAAAACATATCTATGGTTTCTGATATAGTTTGAATCAAGTGTGTATGCTTTCTGGCAGTGCTTATAATCAAGTAAGAAAGTGTTAAACGTTAATTAATTAATTAATTTGTTTGTTTTTTTTAGGCGGTCTTGTTATGTAGTGCGGGCTGGCCTTGAAATCAGGCCCAGGTAGGCCTCGAATTTATGGCAATCTTCCTGTCTCAGCCTTCCAAGTGCTGGGATTACAGGCATACACCATCACACCTGGCTGAGCTTTTATAAAGAATTAGGAAACATAAGTAAGTGAGCTGGTGGTGTAGCTCAGTGGTAGAGCCCTTGCCTAACATACAGTAAGTCTCTGATCTCCAGGACCACCACCACCAAAAAGAAAAAAGATAAAGAAAACATAAGTAATATCTTAAAAGTAAAGTGTATAAGCAGCATTTAAAAGATGGCAAACACAAGTATTAAGCTTTTGTAATTAGACACATCTGAGTTTCATATCTTCAATATGGATAAAGTTTGCTATCTGAATATTTGGGTTTTAGGGTGTGGGTTTGTTTGTTCTGTGGTACTGAGGATTGAACCTACGGCCTTTGTACTAAGCTAGATCCCAGCCCTTTTTGAAAAAATTATTTGGATGCCAGGTGTTGGCAGTGCATGCCTGTAATCCTAGCACTTGGGAGGCAGAGGCAGGAGAATCTTATAAGTTCAAGGCCAGCCTGGGCTACATAGCGAGTTCAAGTCCAGCTTGAACTATATAGCAAGACTCTCCGTCAAAAAAACAAAACCAATCAAACAAATAACAAGAACAACATTTTTTAAAATTTTGAGACAGGATCTTGTTAAGTCCCTAAGTTTTCCAGACTGGGCTGGAATTTATGATCCTCCTGCCTCAGCCTCCCAGAGTGCTGAGATTACAGGTGTGGACCACCACACCTGGTTGGATATTTAGGGTTTGGTTTTTTTTTTGCAATGAATTAATAGAAGTTAATCTGCAAAATTAGTAACTCTAAAGATTTACAATTAAGTTCATCTAGAAAATGGAAATGTATACGGGTACCATGAGGGGAAAGTTAGCTTGCAGGTGGGGAAACACGTTTTGTAAAGATCCAGAACATTTCATGGGGCTCACCCTGGATAGGGATCTGGGACATTGAACCTCTTACACAGAAGCTTGTCAGGGTGCCACTCAAATGCGTCTCGGGTCAACTTCCCGAACATCTTCATCTTCACAGCGGACTGCTTGTCACTGACATCGTTCTGCGGAGAGACACGCGCCGTGCTCAGTGAAGGGTCACACAACCGAGCTGACAGCACTTCCGCTTACACAGTGTCCGGCTTCACTGTCTGGCATTTCCAGTCAGTCAGTCAGTCAGTTAGTCAGTCAGTGCCTGCATACACACACGCATACATAAGTACATTCTCAAGCAACTGTCTAGAATTACAAAGAGCTCATACTATATATAGTATTTTTGCTTAAGTACCTTGGAAACCAAAGCATAAAATCATCTCATATTCCACTGTGCCCTGTGTATTTTGATCTTTTCAGCAACAGATATAAAATATTTAACTGTACCATGTTTTAAATTTAAACTGTAGCTTAGCAGTTGAACACGTGCGCAGCACGTCCAAGGCCCTGGGTTTAAACTCCAGCACCACGAAAAAATAAACAAAAAAATACAATTCACCAGGTAGGAACATGATGGCGACAGATCACCTCTTGGTCTCGAGGAACTTCTACTTGCTCTGAGTCGTCCTCCTCCTTGGCGTGCGTGAACCTGGAGGACAGGGTCGAGTGGGAAGCCGTGTACAGCTGCGCCGCCCGCGCGAACTCTTCCCGCTCGCGGCCGCGCTCCCACTCGGTCATGCTGGGGTCCAGGCAGCGCTCCAGGGCATCTGCGGGGCAGGGAAGGGGACGGGGCTTAGCGACGACGTGCTGGGCACCGCTGTACCCTGCAGCACTTCGCGGGAGACACGCCTCCCCCGCTCGCATCTGTGGGCAGGACTCCGGGTCACGCTGTTCCTTCCTTCCATAGGATGCCTTTACCGAACTCTGTCTACCGAGCAGAACAGGGAAAACCATCTGGGAGGCTACTGCTTGGAGACACCTTTCGAAGCAGGAACCTGGCACCACTCGCAGAGTGCTAAGTTCATCCCAGCTACGTGCCTACATTTTGGGCAGGAAAACACCGTCTCTTACCTTTTTAAGTAAACAAGTAAACCTTAGGGGGGCGGAGTCTTAGGAGAAGGTAAGGCCCCATAAGTGAATTTTATGCTTCCCAAAGTTCAGGTGTGGGGGGCTGGGGATTTAGCTCAGCGGCAAAAGCGCCTGCCTGGCAAGCGCAAGGTCGTGAGTTTGGTTCCTGGTACCGGAGAAAAAAACCCAAAAAAAAAAAAACAACAACAACCAAAGTTCAGGTGTGGAAAATCAGCCCCCTGAATCTGCTGACCAGCTCTCGCAGACCGCGCTTCGCACCCGCGGCCCCGCTCACCCTTCCCGTAGGTCCTTCACAGCCACAGCAATTTCCCCGGGAAATGGTTCAACAGCCCAGTTATGTCTTTAAGTCAAATTTCACACTATAATTTGGGACTGGATAATTAGAATAGAGCAGGAGCCAGTGTCCTCTTGGCTAGAAACACAGCACTTACAGAAGTCAATTATTTCCAAACAGCTGCTTAATTCGGCGCTGGCCCCTGGCTCACCGGCACCTGAACCGCTGTCCCTGTAACCCCAGCTACAGAGGAACGCGCGCTACCAGAGCCTGCTCTTTGGTCAAGGGCCAGGGCCTGAAACCGTCGCATCGTTTGCAGCAGGACACACAGAAAACCTGGCCGAGCAGGGTATTCAACTTCAGATCTGGGGATGGCAAGAGAAGCGGGCACGCTGTCTAGCCTGGGCTGAGGCACGGGAGACCCAGGCTAGCACCCACCTTTCCGACCCTTTTTCATATGCGCTAAGAACTCTTCGTATCGTTTCTGCTTCTCTGGATCTTTAGCAAAAGGTCTGAAGTTGCTGGCTCTGGCGGGGGCTGTCGCGCCACCCAGGGCCACGTGCCAAGAGCTGTGTCCAACGTCCGGTGACGAGGGCCCAGCTCTGCTGCTTGCCGCCCTCTGTGCCAGACTCCTGGCCTGGAGCTGCGCTGCTTTCAGCTCAGTTGCCTGCTTCATTTCTTTGATCCTCTCTCTGTCTTTTTGGGACAGAAACTCTAACACGGAAGTTGCTGAACCTGGATAAAAATAATAAGAAGAAGGGGTGAAGAGTATCACAAGGTGTGTATGTTTACATTTCTCTGCACGGTCATTTTCAGTATCACAAATGTACATAATAGGAGATGAGCATTCTAGGGTTAGTTTCTCTTCTATGCTTATATATCCCTGGGAATTGGACAGTAATAAGTAATGAGATGCCCATTTTACAACTGAGAAACTGGAGGCTAACACTTGCTTGGACACGTAAGGTTGACGGGGGCTCATGTGAGAAGCCGGCCAGAGCTGGGAGGACCAGCGGAGCGCAGGGGAGGACAGAGGCCGGCAGGGCGGGTGCTGGCGGCACAGCTAAGAGGACTTGTAGGCAGGGTGGGGTGAGAATCAGGGCTCCTCCCGTGTTGTTTTTCTTTTTTGGTACCGGGAATCAACCTCAGGACCGTGTGCTTGCCAGGCAGGTGCTGTGCTGCTGAGCTATATCCCTGTCCTGTCCCATGTGGTCTGAGCCGTGCTCCTGGGGGGCCGCACAGACGGGCATGGGCAGACGAGGGCGAGCAGGTATGGGAAGGACGTGGGGACACAGTTCTGTTCAGGGTGATCATCTCGAGAGGCCACGAGGCTCCCAAATGACAATGCCGCAGAGCCCAATTCCCCAGACCCAAGGCGCTCTGCCGACTCCTCTTTTTACTGACCCCGCAGGGCGTTCTCCACATGCTTCAGACCTCCAGACACACTCGCTCCTTTGGGCTCTCACAAGTGTTGCTGCCAGGCCGGCTCCCGGGGAGAAAGCGCACTTTCCCCAGCAGCGCAGACAAGGCGCACGCACCTTATCCCTAGATCATCACTAAATGCCTAAGAATGGAGGCGTTTAAGGAAAAAGGTGCAATTTTTTTTTTGGTTTATTGCCAGTACCGGGAGTCAAACTCATGACCTCGCGCTTGCCAGGCAGGTGCTGTGCCGCTGAGCTAATTCCCCTGCCCTACAAGGTGCAATTTTACAACAAACTGAAAGTGGAAAGACAGGTCTGAAAAAGGAAAGGGCTGCACAGTGTCACACATGCTGTGCGCAGTAAAGGCCACTATTCCTACAGTTTGGGAGGACAAAAGCATACAGAGAGCTTCAGGGTCGGGGGGAGTACAACCTTCCGTTCTGACTTTGCTGAGAGATTTTTTCAGCGCAATCGTTTCAGTCTTTTCGTGGCACGTACCTTGGGCTGGCGTCTCTCCTAGCAACTCCCCCCGCTTGGAGGCATTCAGTTGGTGCCTACTGTGTGTCGCTGGCTCGTGCGCTGCCTTTCCGGCTGACTCGGATAACACCTGAAGCAAATGGGAGTTCTCGGAGGTGGCGGCGACCACGGGTCGGAAATAATGCACTGGTCGATAGTCCCTTGGCAACTCAGGGGGCGGATAAATCTGAACAGAACAAAACAACAACATCATGTGAAATTTAACCAAGGAAACTCATTCCCGTACCTCAGTATGACCAAACCCACTCCTCCCCAGGTGCATCTGGGCAGACCTTGGAGCGTCACCAGAATACACTGTTGCAGGGCTCACGTATATTGAACATCACCCCTGCCCACTTCTCCACATAAATTAGAATATCCATATTTTATATTATGACAAGAAAGGTGATGGGCAGCTCTATGTAATCCAAGCAGAACCGGCCCCCATGAAGCAGAAAAGAGAAAAGCATGATCAAGGCTTCTAAAAAAACAACAGCTTTAAATTAGTTACTTTTGAATTAAGAACTATGAGCCAGGTGTGGTGGCGCACGCCTGTAATCCCAGCACTCGGAAGGCTGAGGCAGGAGGATCACTGACTGTGGCAAAGTTAGACCTCAGTCCCGGGGCACACTGGACCTGCTGGCCGAGTTTCCACAACACTGTGCCCATCCCACCCCACAAGGCCTGATATAACTGGGGTTTCCCAAGCTCCCCAGGTGGTTGTCATGTATTGCCTGGGTCGAACATGTGACAATATTAAAAGACTAGGAAAGAGTGGCATTATCATTGTCAGGAAACCTCATTTTAAAAGAGCCATTTTATCCTGATTACCTTCTCTGAAATAAAGAGATTCCCAAATTAGCCACAAAACATTCCCATGGTACCACACATCAAAACCCAGAGGGCCGAGGACGTACCTTGCTTGCTCAGTATGTGCAAGGCCCTAGGAACAATCTGCAGAAGGAAGGAAGGGAGGGAAGGAGGAAGAAAGGAACCAGGCATAGGGAGACACACGTGTAATCCCAGCACTCTAGGAGGATGAGGCAGGAGGATCTCAAGTTCAAGCCCAGACTAGACAACTCAGTGGCTTAGCAAGACCCTGTCTCAGAATAAAAAGTAAAAAAGGATGGGGATGTACCTCAGTGTGACGGCCTTGGGTTTAATCCCCAGTACTGCGAAAAGAAAAAAAAGAAGAAGAAAAAGGAGGAGGAGGAGAAGAAAAGGTAGAAGAAGGAAGACGAGGATGAGGAAGAGGAGTTGAGGAGGAGGAGAGGGGAGGAGGAGGAGGAAGAAAGACCAGAAAGCAAGAAAGGCAAAGGAAAGCAAAAGGAAAAAGCAGACCAGAGGAGACCCGGAAGCGCCTAGGAGAAAAGTGGACTGTGTGCACCCCACCTCTACACCCCCCACCAGACTCGAAGCATTTCCCTCCCTCTGCTAGTCCCTGCCCCCTCTGCCCCCTGTCTGGGACCCCAGGACTCGGCCCCTGCACTGCCAGGACTGCGGCTGTGCCCCTCACCAGCACCAGGCAGTGTTAGGCTGTGCCATGCCCTCACTGGCGGGGCTCCCAGGCCTGGACCGTGTGTCTGCAGGATGCTGGGGGCGGGATGCCGGGCCTCGAGGGCACGCTGCTCTACTCCTGAGCCGCCTTCCCAAGCCAGGGCAGTTTGTGTTTGAACCCTAAATCAAACGAGTGCTTCTCTGCCATTTTAAACTAGGCCTCCTTTCCTTCCACGTCAAAAACGCACGTTCTCCTTTGGTTATTATTGGACGTTTCTGGTAATAATAGCTGCTTACTACATGTCTAGTGCTGTGCTGAACATATCTGTTTGCTCTTCGAACATCTTCACTCTCAAAACTAAACAAATCCAAGCCTCTGTGATGCCGAATGAGGTTTTTCAGGCTGCAGTGGCCTCCTCTATTCTAAAAAACCACAGGCCGTGTCTGAGAGGTGCTTAACAAATGTTTGCTGAGTGAAAAAAGAAAAGCCGACCAGAGTATGGAACAATCTAACTAGGGAGGGCCAGGTGCCCCTCCTGAGCCGTAGCACCCACATCTGGCTCCTGAGAGTGTGCTGGCAGCAGGGGCTGATGGGAGTTAAAGGAAGAGCACCTCTTGGCCTGAGAGCGCATTTTCACATAGACTGCAACAAAATCTCACAAGATTGTCCAGAGAGGCGCACGGGGTCTCCCCAAACCTGACCCGTTGCTCGTCACATCCCCCGTCTGCTCCGCTGTTGCTATGGAGTCCTGGGGACCTGGCTCACACTGGCTTCAGAGCACCAGGAGGAATCAGGACTGTGGGTTCTGATGGTTTTGGAGAAAGTTTCCTACTTTTCCTGGAGATGTACTGCACCTGGAACGGCGGCCATGGTCCTGGGGATGGAACCCAGGCGCCTGCACATGGTAGGCAAGCCCTCTCCCACTGAGCTGCTATGTCTCTTTTCAGGGAAATAAGCATTAATGTGAAGCTTCGAGTCAAAAGATTAGCAATTAGCATCTAGGCAAAATGGTGCGCACCTTTAATCTCAGTGGTTCAGGAAGAAGCATTGTAAATCTGAGCCCCTTCGGGAACTTAGACCCTGTCTCAAAATAAAAAAAGAAAGGGCGGTGATGTCACTTAGTGGGAGGGTCCCCCTGAATTCCATCACCCCAGGATGGGGAGGGGGGGGGCGGGGGAGGGGTTAGCAATTAGATGTTTTGAACACAACATAGCTACTGACAGATGTTTCTAATGCAGACTTTTTTCCAGACATTGTCTATCCATGCGGTTCACACCTGCCCCAAACTCACAATTCTGCTTCAGCCTCCCCGGTGCTGGGGTTACAGGCCTGGGCCACCACAACCAGCCTCAGAATACGGTTTTCTAGAAAGCAGCATTTCCCTTTCTTTTCAATTAACATAACAACTCAGATTCCATAGCTGTACCAAACCAGAAAAAAAAATTGTTTTAATAAAAGAAAAACTGTCTTACTTTTTTAGATGATAAAGGTTTAGAAGCCAGGGAAAATCCATCCAAAATTTTGCCAATATATCGAAGATCTTTCTCCGATTCTGTAAAACAATGTCACTGATTAATTAGAGAAGTAGAGACAACTGGAGTAAGACAAAAGGCAGGAGCTTCACGTCTCCAAGGACACAGACAGTATACGTCACAGGCAACCTCCCGCAGCCGGGGCAGGAGGGGAAGACAGAGCAGGGTGCAGAGCCCACGCCTCTGCTGACCTGGTGGCTGGTGGCCCAGCCCACACCACCCTTGGCTGGTTATTGGCCAGGACACGAGGGAAAAGTCGAGAACAGAGAAAGGGCTTAGGGGAGGGGAGAGAAAGAAGAGGGGAGCAATGAGGGGGTGATCTAGGTATATTATAGGCATGTACTAAAACACCAAAACAGACCAATTTTCCTGTGTAATATGGACTAATAAAAAAAGAATATTTATTATAGCCCTACTGATCATGAAAAAAATAAACAATTAAAAGTCAATTGGGTGGTACTGGAAAAAAAAAATAAAACAAAACAAACAAACAAACAAAAAAAGTCAATTGGGGCTGGGGATTTAGCTCAGCAGCACAGCGACTGCCTGGCAAGCGCAAGGTCGTGAGTTCGATTCCCAGTACCGGAGAAAAACCAACAACAACAACAAAAAGTCAATCATGGGCCGGGAGAAGTAGTGCACAGGGCCGTAATCCCAGTACCTGGGAGGCTGAAGCAGGATTGCCATGAGTTCAGGGCCAGCCTGCACTACACAGTGAGGCCCTGTCTCAAAAAAAAGTCAATCATGAAGATTAGATAAAATGAAGATAGATTCACTCAGTGAAAAACGATAGAGTCAAAACTACAGAAGTTGTGGCCCTGGGGGTGGGAGAGAAGAGAGGCCATAGGAGAGGACTGGGGAGGGAAAACAGCCTACTCAGACCTGTTGAGCTATGGTCAGGTAAGGTTTGATGAATACTTGTCAAATTTATCTAAAATCTGTGTTGAAGTGATCTTCTATAGAATATAGGCATGTGAGCAGAGCCCCCCAAATAATGTCCATTCTACATTTCTAAAGAAGAAAGAGCAAATGCAGGCAGGTTGTTTTTTTTTAATTTCTACGCAGGTCTCGTGGGGAGGGGGACAATCCATCCATGGGACCATGCTGTAGTATAAGGCAAAGTAAAGATTTAGCTCAGAAGTTACATTTTATGTTTTTTGTTTTTGTTTTTTGTTTTTGGCTTTTTGAGACAGGGTCTCACTGTGCAGTTCAGGCTGGCCTTGAGCTCACTTTGTAGCTCAGGGCTGGTCTCTAACTCTCGACAATCCTCCTGCCTCAGCCTCCTGAGTGCTGGGATTAGAGGTGTGCGCCACTACGCCCGGGAGTAGATTTAAATATATATGTGTTATTAGTATTAACGATTATAGAATTGATGTTTCGTTAATATGTGCTGATTAAAAGCATACTTAGCATGGACTAATGTAAATGTACAGTATTATCAACTTCATTCTCCTAATTTCTAAAGAATGTTTAATAATAATTACACTTTGTATAATTAACATATGTTGTCAACAGCAGATATATTAATGATTACGTACACACAACTCAGTTACATAAATTATTACACATTAATTACAGTCTACGATTATAGTATTCTGCACTACAGAGTAGCCTAACCCACACCCGGGGCGATGCCGGCTGACACGCCGTCACACTCTGTTTTTGTTTTTGTTTTTCTCCGGTACCGGGAACCGAACTCACGACCTTGCGCTTGCCAGGCAGGCGCTTTTGCCGCTGAGCTAAATCCCCAGCCCCACGCCGTCACACTCTGGCATCTCGTGAAGCCCTGGGTTTGGAGGTGGCGGTGGCACCACAGCCGCCCACACTTCACAGTGCTCACTGTGCCCCAGCCCGAGCCAGCCCCATCACCTAGTACCGTCTCCAGCACTGTCGCCCCCCGCTTCCAGACAACGAAGCTGAGGCACACAGCAGTTCAGGAGCTTGTCCCTGGTCACAGCTGCTAAGTGGGGGAACGGCCGGGACCAGAATCCGGGCAGACTCTCCCCAGAGTTTGTACCTCTGTTACACAAACTACCTTCAAAGATTCTGCAGTCTTATATGCCTGGGAGGCTGAGACAGGAGAATTGAAAATTTAATCCCAGACTGGGCAACTTAGGACTTAGTGAGACCCTGCCTCAAAATAAAAAATATTTTAATGTAGCATGGTACAAAGGACTTGGGTTCCATCCCCAGTAGCAAGGGGAAAAAAATCTACAGTGACGGGGAAACCCTGCTTGCATCTGCTCTTTCCTCTTTAGAAATGTAGAATGGACATTATTTGGGGGGCTCTGCTCACATGCCTACCTATATTCTATAGAAGATCACTTCAACACAGATTTTAGACAACTTTGACAAGTATTCAATCAAACTTTACCTGACCATAGCTAAACAGGTCTGAATAGGCTGTTTTACCTCAGCGCTCACCTCCTGACTCTTTAAGTTGCTATTATTACTCTGATCAAAGAACAGTAGGTGCTGTTTACTGTCGGGGGAGGGATCTGTGTGCCTGTGTCTGGCTATCCCCATGCCAGCCTCTGGGACGGACTTGGATCTCACTTCACAAATGAAGACTCTGACGCCCACAGAAGCTGGGAGCCGTACCCAGGGACCAGGGGTCCAAATCCAAGTCTGACTGACTCCAAATCATGTTACTAGAACCTTCACACTGTCTACCCCTGCATCATCTCTGGATTGAAAAACTGAAACCCCACTTAGAGCCACAGACCCTGAATCACCACTCCTCTGACTTCAGGTTCAGCTTGTGCTGATGCCTGCGAGAGCTCCCTAAGAAGACGATCGGACAGGAGGAACAGGTTAAGGGGGAGGGGAGGGGGGATGGATATGATCAAAGGGTCACACATACTGAAAAGGGCACAGTGTAACCCAATAGTCTATGAAATTAATATGCGCTAATTTTATTTTTTGTTTTTTGTTTTTTTGGTACTGGGAATCGAACTCAGGATCTTGCGCTTGCTAGGCAGGTGCTTGTGCCACTGAGCTATATCCCCAGCCAATATGCATTAATTTAAAAAAAAAGAGCCAGGGGGTTCAAGTGCGGAGAAAGACCAGGCTCCAAGCTCTGTCTGCTGCAGGCCGTGAGCGTCCCTACCACCCAGGCCCTGAGCCTGGGCTTCGGACCCGCTGCTCGAGTCGCCCTACGCTGGCCGTCTGCCAGGTCCTCAGCTGTCTGCACACTCGCTCCTTCCCTGGGCCCAGCCCTCTCCCTCCTCTCCAACACAGCTCCGCCCTGACGGCTGGCTTTGGCCTCGGCCTGGTCTGAACGCCACTTCACCCTCTGTCCCACACAGGCCTCCCTCCTCCCCACCGCACTTCTCACTCCACGGAGGCCAACGCTCCAGCATGGACCCAGCAGCCGCTTCCCCTGGGGTCCTGGCACTCGCTCCCACCCTGGGGTGCGGGTCCGTCTGCGCAGTTACCTTTCTGATTTCTATACTGCCTGGGTGCCGTCCAGCCGTACAGGCCATCTCCAGGCTCCTCGTCCTTCAGGACAGTGTCATACCTGGACAGCGTTTCTGTGGCATAAATATCATCATCTTCCTCTTCTAGGGCACCAACGCCAAAAGCCTTCAAAGAACAAGGTTTCACAGTGAGCAATTACAGCTTCCAGGCTATGTCTGCACTGAAGCTTCTGGAAGGATGTGATGAACAGGCCTCAGTAGTATCACTCGATCACCAGGAAAGAAGCAAATGGGAGCCCCAGATAAACAAAGCCTCAAGTCTCTCGGAAAACAGTGGCCAGCAGCAAACCCATGCCTCCAGGCAGCAGCTGGCCTCCACCCTCAGCAGAAGTGGCGAGTTTGGGTCCTAGTGCAGGAAGAGATAGCGCTGCAGAAGCAGGAGGGTCTCCAAAAGGGAAGAGGCAGCAGTGTTCATCCCCTGGTCACTGTGGCCCAGGACCAGTGCCGGTGGCTGGGTCTGAAGACCCCTGCTACTCTAAGGGTGGCTGTAAGGACCCCTGCCCTGCTGGGAAAGTCTCCTACAACTTCATTTTTGTTATAAGACTGGAATGAAAAAGTAATAATAAAAGAAAAGTAATCATTTTCTAAATGCGTTTTAACAAAGAACTCTGAATTCACCTGGAAAGATGGGCAACCAGGAAAAGCTCTCCATCTTTCCAAAAGTGAAAAGCAAGTCTCCAAATAAAGATTAATTCTGTGTCCCCAGCTTAGGTCATGCAGCACTAGGAATAGTCCAAGAGGTGGTAAAACCTGGACCTGAATTTGGAGAGGCAGATTGTAATTAGAATATTACTACCAAAAGGTAACACTGGTGCCGTGCTCAGGCTTGGAGTTCAGTACTCTGGGGGCTAATGTAGGAGGATCGTGAGTTTGGGCTAGCCTGGGCTACAGATCGAGTTCAGGGTCAGCAAGACTACATAGTGGGTCCCTGTCTCAAAAAAAAAAGAGTGGTTTTGTGCCTGGCCCACAGTATGGGAAAGCGATCCTCACCCCTGGAGCACAAACTCCACCGCGAAGATGAGCACAGGCTCTTAGGAGCCGTTTATTAAAACCAAGACAGCGTGCTTTACAAGCCTTCCAGAAAACACGCGGGGAGAACATTACCACGTCAAAGTCTTCATTGGCTCAATGAGCAATGAGGGGGCGCAGCCACACAGAAAGTACACTCATTCACCAGTGGTTCCGCCTTTATATACAGAAACACTTTTACCTGGCCTGAAATTCCCAGCTTTCTCCCTTTATTTAGTCCAGCTTCTCCAAGAAGATTGCCGGCTCCCTCAGCTCCTCCACTGAAAAGATTAACATGTTCAGCCGAAGTTCCAAACAGTGCTTGGTGTGGATCCAGGCCCTTGTACGCCAGCCCGTGCACATTGTCCTTCGGTGTGAAATCCACAGGGGTGACGTCTTTGGGGGCAAAGGTCACATTTTCGGGCAAGTAGTCGTCATCTTCATCCTATTTCCAATGTTTAAAATAGCGTTAAGGTGAGTCACTGCCTGGCCAAAAGTAAACCCATAAAGTACTATTTTAAAACGCAGTGATTAATTCCAAAAAGATAATTACCAAACTTTCATTTACGCTGCTACCAATGACCTCATCAAATCCTCGCATGATACTAATGATACTAACACAACTCCGTGATGAAATCGAACAGACTAAGGATGTCTGAGGCGCGGGTGTGCCCCTGACATTGTCTGACAGAAGGAGAGGAGTTTTGGGGGATAGGTGTTTCACAGTAATGAGATCTGACTGATTTCTAAAATTGTGTCTAACCCTAAAATCTCAAGTTCATAAAGAAACAGGTTCCAATGAACCCAATACCTCTGATCCTTCAGAGCCTCCAGGGGGTAATGCACAGCCATAGATTTTTACTCCGGGATCTAGAAAAGAGATTTCAAAGGCATTAGCCATGAGCAACAACAACGACAACAAAAGAACAACAACAACAAAAAACACCAACTCACTGGCCTTCTCCAGAAGCACATGTCTGTGCTCACAAAGGGCCACAGCTTTAGGGGCGGAGGTGCATCACTACATACATCACTAGAGGATTTTCCCACCAGCCCACCCCCACAGGGCTGACCAGCACCAGGAAGAACCCACTGGAAATGCTGGCTGCTCTCAGAGAGTTCAGGTAAAACTCTGATGGAGTTCTGGAGAGGAGAGGGAACATGAACTTTCATACACTGCTGATGGGAATGTGGATAAGTACAATCCTGGGAGCTATAATCCATGAGACATAAAACACCTTAGACTAAAAAAAAAAAAAAAAAACAAAAAAACACCTTAGACTTGGGTGTGGTGGTACAAGCACTCAGGAGGCTGAAGCAGAAGGGTGGATGTGAGTCTGAGTTCAAGGTCAGCCTGGACTGAAAACTGGCTTTCCATATGTCAAAAATTAACACTAGACCTATATCTTCTTCCATGCACTAAACTAAAATTGAAATGGATCAAAGATCTAAATATTAAAACAGAAACATGGAGTTTGCTGGAAGATAGAATAGGTAGAACTCTTGAAGACACTGGTGTAGGCAAAAATTTTACGAACAAAACCCCAATTGCACAATAATAAAGAATCAACAACTGGGATCTCATCTTATTAAAAAGCTTTTGCATAGCAAAAGCAATCACCAACAGAGTAGAGAGACAACCCACAGTATGGGAAACAAATTTTGCCTGCTGTTTCTCAAAGGACTAATATCTAGAATATATAAAGAACTCAAAAGAATCAGACCCCCCCCATTTAAAGACCCAATCCAAAAATGGGCATCTGAAATAAACAGACACTTCTCAAATGAAGAAGTAGAAATGGCAAAAAAATATATGAAAAATGTTCACCATCACTGGTCATTCAAGAGATGCAAATTAAAACAATGCTGACATTCTATCTCACTCCAGAAAGAATGGCTATAATCGAGAGATCAACCAATAACAAATGCTGTTGGGATTGTGAGGAAAAAGGAACTCTTCCTCACTGTTCGTTGGAGTGTAGACTGGTGCAGTCACTGTGGAAATCAGTGTGGAAATTCCTCAAAAAACTAAAACTAGAGGTTCCAATATATCCAGTTATTCTTCTTCTTGGTATCCTCCCCAAAGAATTGAAAATATCACACCAGAGCGATATATGCACACCCATGTTTATAGTGGCACAGTTTGTAATAGCCAAATCTTGGAAACAGCTCAAATGCCCATCAACTGGATAAAGAAGATGTGATCTTTTTGTACAATGGAATAGTATTCTGCCACAAAGAAGGTTGGGTTTGAGACATTTCTAGCTAAATGAATGCACCTTGAGACCATACATTTAAGTAAAATAAATTGCATACACATGTTTAAATACCACATTGTGGGCTGGGCGTGGTGGCGCACGCCTGATATCTCAGCACTCCAGAGGCTGAGGCAGGAGGATTGTTGCGAGTTCAAGACCAGTCTGGGCTACAAAGTGAGCTCAAGGCCTGCCTGAACTGCATAGGGAGACCCTGTCTCAAAAAGACAAAAAAAAACCACATTGTTTCTCTGGTATGAGAAAGTAGAAATAAAGACCAAGATGTGTAAGACATATAGGGAAATGGGAAGAAAATATTCAAATGGGAAGGGGAACAAGGGAAGGGGGAGGAGGAAGGAAAAAAAGGAAGGAAGGGAAAGGACAAAAATGAGAAAAGAAGGATAAAATGGAAACAAAGCCTTTGTAAACAGGGAAGGAAGAGGGACTGAAGGGAGGGCAGGGGAATGGGGAATGAAAGAAGAGCAAGATATACCATGTGCAGGATGTACAGCTGCAAGCTCCCTATGGTGAATGTTATCATTATGTATCTCTAAACTGTACAAAAAAAAAGGCCACCCTGGGCTACATAAAACAGACAAAAGAAAAAAGAACAAAAATTAAAGCTATGTAATGTGTCGTGTTGAATCACTTCCAAATAATGTAATCCAAGGTCAGCCTGAAGGACATACTAAGACTCTCAAAAAAAAAATCAAGGCAAAAAGTTTTTTAAAGCTGTAGAATGAATGGCAATCAATAGGCATACCAGGTTTTTGTCGGCGTGGCTTTCTCTTTGTTCGAGGACCGATTCCTTGTCCCTCTTTCCAACCCATTTTTCTTAGCAGTTCAAAACCAATAGATAACCTAGGAGAGCAAGACATTGAAAATGAGCTTCTTGTTACAACACTAACGGCTACAGTACGGAACGGGCAGCTTCTATGTCCTGGACTCTTCACTTCCGGTGCTGTCTGCCTGAGCTCGATCCTCAGGCCCCAAGACTCGCACCCCTGCCACCCCAGCCACCACAGATTGGGTGTGAGCAGCTCCTGACCTTGGGAACATAATCAGGAGTCCTCTGTCCCCGGCCTTTGGCATGGATGCTTACAGACTGTAGACTGTCCCTGGCTAGCACGTGGCCAGGGAAACCACGAAGGCCTGAGGCTGCCTGGGCAGGCCACACGCCCAGGAGCAGAACAAGGTGTAAAGGAAAATGGGGCAGAATGAGGCAGCCGGGGAGAGCCCATCTGGCCTGTGTGGGAGGTAAGAGGAAGCCCACCCAGCTCCCAACAGTGCCCCAGCCTCCGTGCACCCCAGCAGCAGGGCCAGGGGCTGGGGCACTTGAGCTGCTCCATGCAGCAATGATACAAAACCATGCCCGCCTTTGTGCTTAGAGTTCTAGTCTAAGAAGGCTGCTCTTACTTGCCACCGAACTATCACTAAATATGATCGTCAAAAAAGCAGAATTAAGTTCTTCTCACTTTGCTGGTGTTATGAAGTCATCAAGCAGAGTGGCTCCGGGAATCGGGGCAGTGGCAGCTGCCAACTGTCTGGCCTTTTCTTGTATTTTATCTTTGGTTTTGGAAGCAAAATCATCTGTGGTAACAATTGCTTTAGGTGCTATCCCAAATTCACTAAGATCCTTAAAGAAAAAAAAAGAAATTCAAACAGAATTATGTTATTTGGACGTGATTCAACAAGATACACTACTGTTGTAGCTTGGGGTTTTTGCAAGGGGAAACAATATAATACAGGGCACATATTTTATAAGATGATTTATAATGGTCACTCAAAGAATCATATACAAAGAGAGTGCAGGAAATCTGTCCACTCACTAATGACCAAAGAATCCAGCTGAGGGTCTGGATCCACACCAATGTCCTGCATGAGTCCAGCTGAAGACCTAGAGCCTGTAACAGTGCCTCCCACAAGTCCAGGCAGAGGTCTAGGGCTCGTGACAATGTCTCATGCAGGCCTATTTCACGGATCTGTGCTAGGAAGGCCCAAAGGTCAGCAGTAGAAACTAGAAAGTTTATGCCAGTGAGATGGAGGATCTGTGCTAGCAGTATGAAGGGTCTGCACTGGAGCCAGGAAGTGACACTCAAAAGAACCAGAGCTCCCCCGAAAGGTACCACAGCCATCCTCAGCAACAGTGAGGTCTTGAGCTCCTCCGACAATGAGGAAGCAGAGTTCCTATCAGGGAAGCCAACGTGACAAACTTCTCCAGGAGACTGAGCAGTGCACCATCTTCCCCTCCGGAGCCAGGAAGTGATGCTCGGAGTGAGGACCAGAGCTCCCCCAAAGTGAACTGAAGTCATTCTCAGTGACAAGTTCCCATGCTCCTTGGATGATGAAAACAGCCAAGTTCATCAGAAAAGCCAGCGTGACAAGCTCCTCCAAGAGAACCAACAGCTCCTTACAGCTTCTCAACAGCTTCCAACAGGCTCCAACACTTCAACACTTCTTCCTCTCCAGCTCTGCCTCCTGTGCTGCTGGCAGCCATCCTCGGGTGGGCCTCCCACACCCAGCACCATGCTGATTCAGTTCAGCTGGGTGTTACAAGTTGACCACCACTTGTCAATCCACCGCAATCACAGAGCTTTAATTTTTCTTATTTTTTTCTTTTGTATATTTTTTGGGGGAGGGGTTGGGGTGAGTACTGGAGATTAAACTCAGGGCCTCTTCACTAAGTTACATTCCAGTCCTTTTATTTTACTTATTTTTTATTCTGAGACAGGGTCTTGCTAAGTTTCTAAATTACCCCTGCTGGATTCAAGCTTGAAACCCCCTATCTCAGCTTCCCCAGTACAGGCATGTGCCACTTTGCCTGCCTCATTTTTCTATAAAGGAAAACAAGTTAAAACGACTAAATTTAGCTGGAAAGTGGCACACTTCATACTCTAACTTGCAAACCTCACCCTCCTCGTATAAGGTAAGGCTGGTCGTCAAAGACAGGGCTTAGGAGTGGCTGCTCCGTGGTGCCACACGTACACAACACCATGCCGGGCAGACGTGACGCAAGCTCTGCTCAACACCACCGCAGGCCAGTGTGGAAGGACGAAGCTCAGGTTCACAGCCAGCAAGTATCTGTGAATCCCGTGTGCTGGGCCCTGAGCAAGGTGCTCTGCACGGTCTGGGCAGGTACCATGGCTGCCTGTCTACCAGCCACCGTCCCTCCACCTTTCCTCACGGAGCCCCAGTGTTGCTGCCTTCGTCTCTGTCACCACTCACTTCAGGACAGGCGCCCCACTGTCAGGGGACAGGGTTAGCAAGCGGGGTTCGTGACTTACCCGAGCCAGGCACCTTGGCCGCATCTCCCTTGCCAGAGGCTGCACTGGGAATGGGCATGGAACACGGCTGTCCCAGCACACAGGAAGGGAGGTCACTGCAGGACTGGGGGAAAGGTTTCCTGCTCTCAGACAGGACACCAAGAAGAAATGATGTCCCGGATGTGCCAACCGGAACCACTGCCCCCGACTTCCAACCACAAAGAGAGGGAACATAAGGACGCGCTGACGTGGACAAGGTGACAGGAGGGAGCCAAGGGCCTCGCTGCACGTAAACTTACTACGCGTGATTTATGGCTATTGCAGTTTGGATCTTCTAAAACGCCCCCCAAAAGTCTTAGTGTGGAAGGTGGCTGGATCACGGGGTGCTGTACTCATCCATGGGTCCCTCCATGGAGAAGTCCAGCCGCTGAATGTGCCATTAGGAGGCAGGGCCTGTGGGGCCGGTCGCTGAGGGGTGTGACCTGGAAGGGTACTCTTGTCCCCAGCTCCACCTTTCTCTTTCTGCTTCCTGGCAGCCAGGAGGTGGACAGCTCTCCTCTATCATGTCCTTCCACCGTGCTGTTTTTGCCTTAGAACCAGATGACCATGGACTGCAGACCCCAAACCATAAGCCAAAGTAAACCTCTTCTCCTTTCATTTGTGGGTACCGGGTACTTTGTCCTAGAGACACAGAAGTAGACTAATACAGATCTCAAATGTCCCCCAAAAGCTCACATGTTGACGGCTTGCTCCCCAACACAGCAGTGGTCAGAGGCAGTGCCTCTGGGAGGCGACTGGATCACGAGGGCTCAGACCACATGAATGGACTCATCCCCCCATGGACCCACAGCTTCATGAGCTGTAGGGAAGTGGTAGGGGCTTTAGGAGGTAGGGCCTCCTTGGAGGAAGTAGGTCACCGGAGGTGTGGCGTTGAAGGGCATCTTGTCCTTGGCCCCTTCCTCTCACACTCACTCTTTCTTTGCTTCCAGACAGCTGCGAGGTGTGCAACGTTGCTTTACCCCCTGTATTCCCTGCCATGACGTCCTGCCTCACTACAGGCCTAACACAATGGAGCAGCTAGCCATGGACTGACGCCTCAGACACCAGCAGCCAAAACACACTTTTCCTCTTTTAAGTTGATTTCTGTCAGGTATTTTGCTACAGTGATGGAGAACTGACTGAAACAGTTTCCTAATAGATTGTGCTACCCCAGCAGGGAAGAGGCCCACCTTTGCCCTTCCTTGCAGCTGCTGTAAGTACTTCATTTAATCTTTATGATGAATCCAGGCCAAGGTTTTAAGATAAAGAGGTTTAATTTTAGTCGAGTTGCTCCACTATTCCTTGAAGCATTGTGTGCATACAAGTTACTGCAAAAAGCTACAGGCTAAGCAATATGGCTTTGGGGACAATCGAAACTATTCAAATAATACATTGTGTGTGACTTTCCTCTTACACTCCTCACTCTAGAAACTGGCCCCCAAAATGCAGGAGAATCCACTGATGTACACAGCACTATAGTGCAAATGCTAAGAGCAAATTCCACTCTGGAGTTTCCAGGGCAAGGGAAGGTGCCACGATAACAGTCACACACACACCGCCCAGCTGGCATTTGAGTTTTGCACACCCACCTCTTCATCCATGAAATCTTCAGGACCAAGAACAGATCTGTCTGCCCTATTCTGTCGTGAAGACACATAGGTGGAAGGTGTCCATCCTAGAAAGAAGAGTTCACGGTTTTATAATCCTTGATAGCATTTTGATATAATTAAATAATTATGACACAATTAAATAAATAAAGTATGTAAGGACTTGAAACCGCCAGTAACGACAGACACTAAGCCACTGCTCATTTCACTTTTACACAGACGTAATTACTCTACATAAACTTATTAATTCCTCTTCCTCCTGTTGTCAGCTCTCAGTGGATTTCGTAAGGTTTCCTCCTAAGAAGTGATTATTGTTATATTGTTTGGGTCTGGATGTTCCCCCAAAGCCTCATGCAGTCATGGGGCGGGCTTCTAGCGTTTATGATTGATCCATGGTCCAATACTGGGATGATGGGTGGGAAAGCTACACCTGCCCCTGGGGCGGGTAGTTTGCATACAAGATAAGGGAGGGAAAGAGGCTGCTTGCCGCCACTCCTCCCTTTTGCTCTGGCTGTTTTTGCCGTCTTCAGCCGCCTTGAACTGTTGCCCTGTGCCATGTGCCACTCTGCCTTGGAGCCAGCTGAGTAATGACTGAAGCCTCCACAAACTGTGAGCTAAATAAACCTTTCCTTCCTTAATTTTGGGCATCAGGTATTTTGTCTCAGCAACAAAAGAAAAGTAACCAAGACAATTATCAAGTGAAATAAAATTCTATATTAAAAGTTAAACCAGGGGCTGGGGATTTAGCTCAGCGGCACAGCACCTGCCCGGCAAGCGCAAGGTCGTGAGTTCAATTCCTGGTACCGGAGAAAAACCAAAAAAAAAAAAAAAAGTTAAACCATTAAGGAAGCTGGGTATGGGCCCCTGTAGTCCCAGCTACTTGGGAAGCGAAGGCACTTGAGCCCATGAGTTCAAGGTCAGCCTGGGCGATGTAGCGAGATCTTGTCTCAATAAGTAAACTGTGAAAAACACAAGTAGATCTGAGTAGAAAGGTACAAGGTCACTTGAAAAGGTAAGACTGCTCTGTGACCAGCAGCACAGCAATCTGCACAACCATATCAACACATCTAAAGAAACAGTGGGGGTGAGCATTGTAGCTCTGGGGTAGAAAGCCTGCTTAGCATGCAGGAGGCCCTGTGTTCAACCCGAGCACCAAAACAATAACAAAAACCCTACATATGTTGTTTTAGTAATATGGAATTGGTTATACTACTTAACATGAACATTTTAACTAATTTTTTCTAGGTCAAAAGTGAGTAGTACCAGGCTTGGTGGTACACGCCTGTAATCCCAGTACTCGGGAGGCTGAGGCAGGAGGAGCACTGTGTTCGAGACCAGCCTGGGCTACAAAGTGAGCTCAAGGCCAGCCTGAACTGCATAGCAAGACCCTGTCTCAAAAAGACAAAAAAAAAAAAAAAAAATTAATCAATCAATCAATCTATGAAAAGTGAGTAGCAACCAGTCTTTCTGTGGTCCGCAGTATCAGAACACTACAGCTGGTGATTCTCTGGACAGCTCTGATGCTACTCTGGCTTCTTATCCTCTCTGACCGTTGGTGATCTCATGTGCAAAACACCTGGACATCTGTCGTCCTCCTGAGTCACTGAGCCCTGTGAGACAGCCCATGATGACCTGAGTGAAACTGTGAGGGTACTGCGTGCATGGCAAAACCCTGAACCAGACATCATTACCATGGTTTAATCATCAGGTTAGAATGTATCCATTTTCTACACAGTGTAACAAAATGCTTTCCCTTTCAGTTTGCAATCAATAAACATCTCTCTCTCTCTCTCTCTCTCTCTCTCTCTCTCTCTCTCTCTCTCTCACTCACACACACACACACACACACACACACACACCTTAACTCTTGAAACATTGTAAGCATTCAAAGTACACAAAAGACAACAGTGTACACCTTGTAAAATGGTTGAAGAACTTTTTTTTAAAAGCTGTGGGAGGGGAAGAAATCTTAAGATATTTCAAATATTTGCTTTAGCATTGTGATAGCTGTAAGCAGCAAAACCATACCTTCTTTTGAGCCAACAGTATTGAAGTACCCAGCAGAGAAACCGCCACTAAAGGCTCCATGAAATCGCTTATACCTTCCCTTTTCATCTCTGACAGTCTGATCCTGCAGAGGAATTGGTTTCTTTGGTCTTTCACCTGAAAAAAAATTTTTTTAACAAAAAAGAGAGAAGGGGATGGTGAGTTAGCAAGAATTAGGGAAAATTTCATCTCTTAAACACAAGGAATTGTTTGCTTATTACCTCAAATACAACAATTTAAATTATTTCTAGATTTTACTATGCTAATACAGCATAGAAAGCAATATACAGTGGTACTTCAGGTTACAAACTTCACTTGTACTATGATTTTGAAGAAGATGGCCATGTTTGTGTTTGTGTAGGAAAGATGGCTGTGGTCATGCTTGTCACCCGATGCACTTTGCAAACAGAAACAAAACTTTGCCCAATGCTTCTGTTTGCAAATGAAATTTTTGCAAACAAAAGCATTCATGAACTGAGGTACCACTGTACAATATTTTATCAAGCATATGATAGAAATATACATTATAGCAAAAATGTCCTGCTTTCTCACTAAATTTCATCATAAACACCAAATTATACTGAAGAGGAGGGTTCAAATAGATGGAACATCTATCGGGGCATCAAGGTGCACACCTATAATCCCACCACTCAAGAGGCTGAGGCAGGAGGATTGCCATGAGGTGAGGCCACTCTGAGCTATCAGTGAGTCGAAGGTCAGCCTAGACTACAAAGTGAGATTCTGTCTCAAAAAAAAAAAAAGATTAGAAATATGTTGGCAACAAAAGAGCCAAGATTGTGGAGTACTATATGGCATGCAGAGGTTTGCAACAGAGGGACACTGATGTAACTCTTCCGGAACTCCTAGAACAGCATCCCTGTCTCCAGAATATTTCCTTTGGGGATTGCTCATTTACTCAAATCTTAAGTTTCCTTAAATTCTATGCCTTTCATTATTCCTCAGTTGATGTTCTTTAAACATATTCTCTTGTCTGGCTTTGTTGAAAAGGGCTGGGTTGGTCCATCACAAAAGCAAAAGAAAATTGATACATTCTGGCCCAATCTAAAACTCCCTCAGATTTACAGTGTCATGTACTATGGCACAAACTACTGGCTAATTTTACCAACTCCGATTCAAAATTCTGAATTTGTTTAATTTTTTATTATTTATTTATTTTTAGAATTTATGTCTTTTTTATTTTAAGGAGAAAAAAATAAAACAAAATCTCAAAACAAGATAATAGGAGGGTAACAATGGTTAACACACTGAGTATTGTTATCCTTAAGTTAGTTACTCAGAGTACAAGATACAGGCACTTAATTCAAAGGTTCAGAATAGAACGTAGGTTTGGTGGTTAATTAAGGACTTGCTTTTGAGCCTGCAGTGCTGTGGACATTCAAGCCAGCTGCACCTTTGCTGGTGCTTTTAGTCGGCTTAACCTCTCTGTTTTGATTTCCTCATCTGCAACATGAGGAGAACATCAATAGTAATAGTTATTTCATAGAGTTATGCAAATCAAATAATTTCTACAGAATTCTTAGCAAGAAGAGGGACACACAGTAAATACTTTTAAAGTGCTAGCTGCTATTACTATTATTATAGTTATTTTTTGTCATAATGTCCTATTATGGTTACTATACACAAAGTATGATAATATGTTAAAAAGTATATATCTACCCATAACTTCACCTATTAGACCATTTCTACTTTTCTTTTTAAGATGAGGAGTTACTATGTTTCTCAGATTGGCCTCAAGTGATCCTCCTGCCTCAGTATCCCAAGTAGCTGGGACTACAGGTAAACACCACCTTGCCCAACTTTTCCTTTTTCTTTCTTTCTATTTTTTTTTTTAAATCAAAGTCTCACTATGTAGTTCAGGATGGCCTTGAACTCACTACCTAGCCCAGGCTGGCCTCGAACTCATGGTGACCCTCCTGCCTCAGCCTCCTGAGTGTTGGAATTACGGGTGTGCATCACCAAGTCCAGGCTCTCAAAATTCTTAAGCTCTCAATCTCTTTAATTTTCCCTAAACTCACTCCCTGACTTTATCCAAATCCTCTTTCTGGTCACAAAGGGGTTAAAACTCTTTCTCTACAGTTATGAGCTGCTGCACTAAGCTGCCTAGAAACAACACAAGGTAAAATATAAGACCTATTCAGCCCTCCACATGAGCCCCGTCCATCTGGAAGAGTTAATGTGTATAGATATTCTTATTTACACTAGCTTCTGTGAGACCAGAGTAATGGAGCTTGTTGATTCTCAACTCTGATGTACAATCTCAGTTAAACAAATGTGGTTTGTTGTTTTGTTTTGGTACCAAGAATCGAACTCAGGACCTTGTGCCTGCCAGGCAAGCACTTGTGCCACTGAGCTATATCCCTGCTCCCAGTTAAACAAATGTGGATGTTGTTCGAATATCATGGGAAATGCATATGTAAAATGCCTCCATTTGCTATCTCAGATCCTTTCCCACGTCCTCACTCCCTTATAAAAACCCCATGCTTGTAGGGCGTAATGACGCGCGACTGTAACCCCAGCAGTCAGGAGGCTGAAAACAAAAACAAAAAAACCCCTGTCACTCAGACGCTGCAAGTCATTCTTGAAACTCTCCCACTGCCTCTTGAAGTGTATCAATAAACTCCTAATTTTTTTTTCTGTTACGTTTTGTTTTTCGTTTTTTAAAACAGGGTCTAGCTATGCAGTTCAGGCCGGCCTCGAACTCGTGCCTCAGTCTCTCAGGTTCTGGAATTATAAGCATGCACCACCACCACACCGAGCACCCTAAATATTCCCCGACTGTTGGTATATTTGTTTACTGTCCGCATCACCGGCCCTTCCTATGCCATCTCCCCCGGAACTATTAAAGACTATCCCAAATTTTTCTTTTAATTTCCCTCAGGCTTTCCTATTAGAAGTCCCAGATTCAACCCTTGGTTCCTGCCCGACCCCATCACACTTCTGGCTTTCCATCAAAATTCCTAAATCCCCCATAAATTCTCCTCCTCGGCATTCTTTGGTCTCTACGCTGGGACCTATCCTGAGACCCTCAAGCCAATCCCTTCCCAGCACTCTTTCTGTCCAGGTCCCACCCTCGCCTGCCCATTGGCTGCTGGCGCGTGCACCCGTATCCCTCCCTCTGATTGGCTCCGCGCGCCTCTCGTGGGCTCTTACTTCCTCATCTCCATTGGTTTCTCTCGGTTAAGTCTTTGCCCATTCTTGCTCTCTAGAGCTCCGCTGCCGCTTGCGACCCCTCATGGACCCCAAGGGCCGGCAGCCACAGGTTACACTCCCTGCGCTAGCCCAGAGAGGATGTCGCCGCTGCCCATGGCTTTTTGCCTCCCAGGGCGACAGAGGCGTTGTAGGCAGAGGCTGCAAAGGGGACGTTCGCGCCCCGAATCCTGGTTCCCAGCCTATTTTCTACAGACCCTGCCGACCAACTGGCCCCATACCTTCTTCCAGAGGCTCCAGGCCCGTCCCATAGCTGACCAGGTCCTCCTCGCTGTCACCGTGCAGCGCCGCCATCCTGAGCCCTTCCGGGCCCCGCCCCCTCACTACGGGGCCCTAGGCGGGCCAAACGCCTTCCGCTTTTTTCTCCTCCGCGACTTAAAGTGAAGCTATAGGTGACAGGGTTAGGAGAGCCTCGTCTTATTTGAGGTGGACCCAGGCAGGAGTCACCTGGAAGGATTAGACATCGTAGCTCTGTCGCGTGAGCCCCCAACTTCTGGACACAGTGGCCAGCCCTTGTATCTGGAGGCCAAAGGACAGGGCCTTCCTTACTCAGTGTCTGGCTCTCGGATGACATCCTCCGTCCAGTTCAGTCTGAAGCCCACCAGATCAAGCCGCAGCCCCCAGTGCCACCAGGACCCCAGGAGGCGGAGCGCCCAGCCCACAGTCCAACCTAGAACTCACCAAGTGGAGCCCCTTGTGTGCCGAAATCTGCCTTGACCCTGACTAGTAACAGCCCCTGATCTAGCCGGGATTCCGGACAGGACGGGGACCTCAGGTCTTCATCTTTCTGGATTTAGTGATCTCAGACTGCAAACTCCAGACCAGAGCTGGAGCTCCAGGCTCAGGCCCTCTCCCTCCAAGTCCCCAGTGTCTGAGCTCCTCGCCCTTTTCTAGAGGACCTGGTGGGGGGCGGTGTCCCCACAGGGGCCAGGTCTGCGCCCATGAGTCCACTCCGAGTGTTTGCAAAGAGGGCCTGTGTGAGTGAGTGTGGCATTCCAGGGGAGCCACCCTGAGGCTGGGCAGTCAGGAGGCTTTCAGCTTCCCCCGGGGTGTACTCTTGACAGGGGAGGAGGGAGGAGGGGAGTGGGGGGAAGAACACAAGAGAACAGTTCGGCGGCGCGGATGTGTCTGTGGTCATGAGACGGTTCTAGAATTGATTGTGGTGATGGACGCATAACCCTGTGGCCACACTAAAAGGCACTGCGCTGGACATGTTGGGGGGGGTCTCATGACAGGGGATTATGGCCCGGTAAGGCTGAGACTGAGCCCTGGTCCCTGAGAACCAACACAGGCCAGACACTCCAGGAGACGCCAAGGAGGAAGCACAGCCCGGCGGGAGCCCCCAGCACTGAGGTGTGAGCTCCCACAGCAGGATGTGGGCGGGATCGGCCCACCCCGCCAGGAAGAGGTGAGCTGGAGATTGGGCCCAGGAGTCAACCTTGGCGGGGGAAGTGGGGACGGAGCTCCAGCTCTGGGAGGGAACGGGACAGACTTGCAGGGACGGGAGGGGTCAGCTCTTGGCCACGAGTGGTGAAGCCCGGAGGCAGGCAGAGAAATCCAGGCCCGGGCCCACGGTAGCCCTCGCTGCTGCTGCTCGCCCCCTAGACCGGCTCCGGAGTTCCGCTGCGGGGGGTGGGCACTGTGATTAATGCAGTTAATTAATTAACCAGGTGGCCGAGGCAGCGACCGAGGCCTGCGCTCCAGACATGCAGGACTTCAAGGGCCTCTTTGAGCCCTGTTGATGTCTGCCAGGCTCACCGATGTGCGGATGGGCAAATGTTTACCATCCTGTGGGCCTCAGCTACCTCATCAGACCTCCCCTCTCTGCATGTCCTTCTCCCCCAGGGAGTCCCCCCCTTAGGCACCAAGGTCCTGCAAGACCCGGCTGTCACCTTCCTTTCTCCCTGTTTGCTTTTTCTCAGGCTTTGTCCGCTGCTCCCTGTCCCCTCCTCCCTGGAGTTCCATGGGCGCTGCTCCTCCGCACACTGGGCAGGCCTCCGCCTCAGGGCCCAGCACCGCACGTTTCACTCCGAGCACCGTTCCTTCTCATAGTCACAGGGTGTTCTGTTACCTCCTCCGAGTCTTTCTGAAACATCGCTTTTACTTGGCACAATGTAAAGAAATAAAAACCTCCCCACCGCTCTCACTGCACCCTCTGCCACCTTCCACTCCCACCTAATTTCCTGCTTTTTACCTCCTCGGCCACTGAGGCTCACCGTGTGACGTGCGCAGCCAGCCCTCCATGTCCTCCTGTACCAGGTGCGCAGGTTTAGCCAACCGCAGATAGAAAATATGGGAAAAAATTGCACCCATATTGAACAACCACTGACTTTTTCTTGTCATAATTCCCTGAGCAATCCAGCCTAATGACTATTTCCACAGCCTTTACATTGCATTAGGTATTATAAGTCCTCCAGGGATGATTTAAGATAGATGGGCTTGGGGGCTGGGGATATGGTTCAGCAGCACAGGAGCCGGCCTGGCAAGTGCAAGGTCCCGAGTTCAATTCCCGGTACCAAGAAAAAAGAAAAGGACAGATGGGCTGGACGTGGTGGTGCATGCCTGTCATCCCAGCTACTAGAGAAGCTGAGGCAGGAGGATCTCAAGTTAGAAGCCAGCTTGGAAAACTTGGTGAGCTCCTGTGTCAAAATAAAATTAAATAAATAAATAGGGCTGAGGATGCAGCTCAGGGCTCTCTGGGTTCGATCCCCAGTACATATCACACACGCACACGCATGCACACACGCTGCGCCCAATCTGTCTATTCTGTCTACCCCATCCGCACTGCAGAGCTCACCCTCTGGTAATTACAGGGCTTCTCCCCCTGCCCAGAGAGTGGCAGAGCTCCCGTGTCCTGTCGTAACCACAGACCACACTCCTCAGCGTGCAGCCTGTCTCACTCAGGTGTGCCCAGCTCGTGAGGAACGTCTGGAGCAGGCGCGCCTGTCAGTAAACATCGGTGGATCAGATGAATGAATCATTCTGCCGCCGGCTTCTGGATTTGGAATGTGCGTAAACAGAGGGACTTGAGCGGAGAGCCAAGGATTCCGAACTCCATGGCAGATAGTTTGCATCGCCGATCTGCCTCCACCTTCTCAAGGAAATGCATCTCCAGATCACAATGATGTGCTGTGTATGGAATGGAGGGTGATTTTTTTTCTTCCTTGCAGTGCTGGAAAACAAACCCAGAATGCTAGGCACATTCTCTACCCCCGAGCTACACCCTGGCCCCAGCCCCTCAGTTCTGACAGATTTTCAGTTTTTATTTAATTATTTAATTTTATTTTTATAAACATTGCAGCATATAATGGCTGGGGAGTCAGTACCTATACACAACACATCTCTTTTTTTTTTTTTTTTTGTCTTTTTGAGACAGGGTCTCACTATGCAGTTCAGGCTGAGCTTGAGCTCACTTTGTAGCCCAGGCTGGCCTCGAACTCGAAATGATCCTCCTGCCTCAGCCTCCCGAGTGCTGGGATTACAGGAATGTGCTACCACGCCCGGCGCTTGTTTTCAAATTTTTAAAAAGTAGACTTATGCAGATGAAGCAGACCAGAAGGTCATCTCCCAGTATTTAGGCTTCTGGTTTGTGGTCTCTGATGGAAGCACTTTCCTCCAACTCACGATGGACAGTCCCAGAGACGTTAGTCAGCGTCACTGTGACACCACCCCTCCCTCCCAGACACAGCCTGTGCTCTCTGACACACCCCCTCCGCCACTCTGTACAGCAGCTCGTGGAAGCCAGCATGGGCATTGCGAGGGGCAGGCGTGGGGCCTGCAAGAGGGCAAATGTGGAGCTGAAAGTGATGCCCATTTAGAAGGACTCTGCCCTCGGGGCTCCCTCCCAGATCCCTGCCTGCCCTGTCCTTACCTGTCCTCCCTGCTCCCAGGATGGCCCAGAAGGGACATGACTTTGGCGGGAGAAGCGTCTTCGAAATGGGAGAGAGGAGGTTCGTCGTTGGATGCTAGACTAACACCGTTCAGGCTGCCTCGGCTGTACAAACCCCCAGTGCACAGCCACAACCACTGGTAGGTGCGAAAAGGACCAAACGCTGTGCACAGCAAACGCTCAGGAGTCGCTTCCGTCTGTCCGTCCTTCCTTCCTTCCTTGCACTGGGGATTGAACTCAAGGCCTTAGTCCTGAGCTGCATCCCCAGCCCTTTTTCATTGCTTTATTTTGAAACAGTGTTATGGTTTGTGTCTGGATGTCCCCTCAAATCCTCATGCAGTCATGGGGGCGGGCTTCTAGAGTTTATGATTGATCCATGGTCCAATGTTGGTTTGTTTGTTTGTTTTTGTTTTTCTTCCAGTACCAGGAATCGAACTCACAACCTTGCACTGCCAGGCAGGCGCTTTGCCGCTGAGCTAAATCCCCAGCCCCACCAATGTTAGAACTATGGATGTGAGTGCTACACCCGCCCTGGAGCGGATAGTTTGCATACAATGTAGGGGAGGGAAAGGGGCTGCCTGCTGCTGCCCCCTTTTGCTCTTTTTGCCTTTGCTGTCTTCCACCACCATGAACGTTTGCCTTCTGCCATGTTCCCCTCTGCCTTGGAGCCAGCCAAGTATGGACTGAAACCTCCACAAACAGTGAGCTAAATAAACGTTTCCTTCCTTAGTTTTGGGTGTCAAGTATTTTGTCTCAGCAATGAGAGAAAAGTAACCAAGACAGACAGGGTCTCAGTAAGTAGCAAAATTGTCCAGGCTGAGCTTGAGCTTGTGATCCTCCTGCCTCAGCCTCCCACAGTGCTGGGATTCATCCCTGGCTCTGGTTTTTCTGTGTAAATTGTATCTTGGGACACAAATTACAGGAGGTCTCACTCAGGTTTAAGGCAGATGATGAGATCTTTTGGCATAGAGAAGTATAAATGAGGCTAGGTCGAACATTGCAAGCACACACACTGCTGCACGGGAAGAGCTTTATCAGGAGAGGGTGAAAGGGGACTCAGCCAAGTTGGGGCTTTGGCTGAAAGGAGCCAGCAGTTGGATGAGTGACCAGTGAGGAGAGTGGCAGGTTTTTCCTGATTTGCTTGGCCAGGACAAAGTCCTGTCATTCCCATGGCCAGAGGCTCTGTTCTGAAAGATGTGGCAGATTGGATCACAGCCGTCATGGTCGTCTCCTCCCAGATGCATTGCATGCATTTTGGCGCCATTGTCCTGCACACCCTGGCCTTGCACACAGTGGGCCAACACGAGGTCCGCTTCCCTCAAGATCTGCCGAGCTGCCCCTACCGCTGGCGTCATCTGCACACACACCCTGGCCTTGGGACAGGGAAGGACGTGCAGTGCCCGGGCTGCTGAGGAAGCAGGA